ACCTACCCGCCTCCCCTCTCCTCTCGCCAGCTCCATGTATTATGATGAGGATGGGGATCTCGCCCACGAGTTCTACGAGGAGACAATCGTTACAAAGAATGGGAGAAAGCGCGCCAAGCTGAAGAGGATCCACAAGAACCTGATACCTCAGGTAGCACGTGGAGAAGGGTGGGGGAAAGTGAGTGCCAAAGCACCACGGTGACAGCTGGAGCCCCGGCTTTGCCTTCTCCCTCGGGGCATCTTCTTGCCAGGAAAGCGAAGGCTTCCTACTCACCCCCCCGCAGCTCCTGCCTCAGAGCCATGTCTCCTGTGTGTCCTGGCTCACTCCCATGTCACCTAGGGAGGCTGTGGCAGGAGAGGGAGAGCTGCTGACAGCCTCCAGCCCCCTTCTTCCAGAACGAAGCGGGCAGTGCCCCAGCCCTTTAGAGCTGCCAGGCTGAGGAAGATAGCTCAGCTGGGTGCGTGTTGTGGGGTGCAGAGTGCCAGGCAGCCCTGCACAGCATCCCATCACTGACCACCATCCCCAAGGTGTGGGGTGCTGCGCTTGCTCAGCCGGTGTCACCTCACTGCGGAGGGCCAGGCCCTGGCTTTGGGAGCAGCAGCCAAAGCCTGTCACCCACTGACGCAAGTGTGTACGTTCCCTTCAGCTGCTTAGTAGTGACAGTGGGGTTGACAGCTCTGCGTTTTGCACCTCAGTGCAAAAGTCTCCTCTTAAAATAAGTACCTGGGGTGAAGCTGAGCGGGGGCTGGGACACCGATTGAGGGTCTCGGTGCCGGAGAAGGATAGCCTGCATGTAGGGAAGCTTCTGGGGGCATAAGTGGAGAAAAGGGAGGGTCAAACCAGGGTTGGAGAGAGACCTTGCAGGAGTCTTTTCTAAGTAAGCAGAAAGGCACAGCTCTAGTGAGGACCTGAGGCGATGCCGTTGGTGTGCTCCAAGGGGTGAGCAGTGCCCCGGTGGGATGGGAGCCCTCTGAGCGCTGTGCAGGCAGTTATGGGGGGAAGGGTTCAGCGCCGCTCCCTGGGTTGGCATTCTTGCAGAGACAGGCTTGGGCTGTGGAACTGACTCCTCATCGATGTGGGTGGAAACTCACCTGGTTGGAAAGCTCGGCTGAGCTGGAGAGAGCAGGCCCCGAGCCCCCGCTCCACCCCCAGCCC